GGCTACCGGAACAGCGCTCCGGACTACTGGAGTAACTGGCCCCGCGGCTAAAAGTAGCGGCAGACGAGCAACGGACCCACGGGCGACTGGCACAGGTGGCTACGACTGGGCTACCGGAGCAACTCCCCGGACTACAGGTGCTGCTGGCGACACGACGGCAACCTCCGTTCAACCTCCCCCAAACAGTACCACCCCCCCTGACACACACCCCCTGCTTCACCCCTAGCTCCACTCCCCCTTCACCCCCCCTTAGTACCACTCCGACGGCTCCAACAGGTCCACCCCCCTTCAGCGGCAGCTGCAGCACAGGGAGACGGAGGAGGAGGAGGAGCAGGGAACGGCACACAGAAGCTGCACCCCCATACCCCCCACCCCCAAACCCTAATCCAGGAGAACAGGCAGAAGGAGGGGTGGGGCGCCTTCAGAAGCACGGGGGACAGCGGGGAGGACAGGGGCAGCGAAGAACGGGCCGCCCACGGGCCTGGCACAGCCTCCCGAACCGCGCGCAGGCGGCCCGAGCCGCGCGCGGGCCTGGCGCAGTCCGTACGGGCCGCGCGCGGGCCTGGCGCAGCCCGTACGGGCCGCGCGCGGGCCTGGCGCAGCCCGTACGGGCCGCGCGCGGGCCTGGCGCAGCCCGTACGGGCCGCGCGCGGGCCTGGCGCAGCCCGTACGGGCCGCGCGCAGGCCTGGCGCAGCCCGTACGGGCCGCGCGCCGGCTGTACGGGCTGCGCGCAGGCCACGACGGGCGACGGGGGGCGCGCGGGTCCCCGTCGCCCGTCGTAGCGCCTTTTGGGGGCGACGCGCCGAGTGACGGGGCAGAAACCCGTCGCGCGCCTCGGGGCGCACGGCGGGCAGAAAACCGCCGCGCGCCTCGGGGCGCACGGCGGGCAGAAAACCGCCGCGCGCCTCGGGGCGCACGGCGGGCTGAAAAAACCCTAATTTCGACGCCGCGCACCACGGGGCGCGCGGCGGACAGGGAGTAGCAGTAGCAGCGGAAGCAGTGAGGTGGGGCCCACAGGCCAGGAGCATATCGCTCTAATACCATGTGAAAAGCAGTAGAAGAAGGCGCCATAGCTAGGAAAGCCCTAGCTAGGCAAGAAGCAGTTTAGGCAAAGAAGGAGGGGTTGCACTAGCAAGAATGAGGATACAAATAGCAAACCCTAGAAGGGTTGTACTCGCTATAGAGCACCCCACTACAGGCTAGAGCATAATATTCTGACACGTGGCGGCGCATGTCGTTACCATCACCTTGCACCTGCGAAGTAGGTGCGCGCACATGAGCACGCGTGGTGACCTGTGGTGGCCTGTTGTTGGTGTGCTGGCACACCAGCCTTGTAGGTCGACTAAGGACGCTTGAGGTCGACTTGCTGGCAAGTCGTCTTCGTGCTGAGCTGGTGGTCAACTTGTATTCTAGGCTTCTAAGGTAGTCTATCTTGCCAATCTAGTTGTTAACCATTGTTCTCGACTTTTGCTAGTGAAACTCTTGCGGTTTTTCCCTGTGAACGCACAAGTGCTAGAGAACGACTAAGTGAACAAACGCAGAGGTCCCTCCTACCCTGTGCCTAGCCCATAGTCTAGCTCCCGTTGATAGAGTTATCTCCGCAGGAGGGGGCAGTGGGTGACTGAGGCAGGGCAGCACGGGGAGAGGGAGAGCAAGAGAGACAGCAGGAAGAAGAACAGGTGCTGGTAGGAGTGGAGCAACAAATGCAGAGAGGAGTGAAGGAGACGGCAAGGAGAAGAGCAGGTGCTGGAAGGAGAGGTGTTCTCCGACAAGACTTCCACCAGTAGTACCTACAGCAACCTCCACTGCCTTCAGCGCACCAGCAGCAGCATAGGCTGCCCCCAATGCACCAGCATCAGCCACTGCTATGAAGCGCCAACATGCGCCAGCACCCGCGTTTAGCGCGTCCGCAACAGGTTAGGCTAGCTTCAGTCGCGCAAGCACTAGCTTCAACCGTCCTACCACTTGTACTGCCAACTCGACTGGCCCCTACCACCCCCGTACGAACATGCCATGTTGATGCGGCGACAGCGGCAGCAGCAGCAGTGGTCGCGGCAGCAGCACCGGCGGCCGCAGCAGCAACACAGGCGGCCGCAGCAGCAGCAGTGGCAGCAGCAGTAGTGGCCGCAGCACCAGCAGTGGCCGCAGTAGCACCAATGGCCGCAGCAGCAGCAGCAGTGGCAGCAGCACCGGTGGCCGCAGCAGCAGCAGTGGCAGGTTGAGCAGCAGCGGCAACCTCCACCGCAGTGCCCTGTCGGACCCGGCCAATACACACACCGGTACGTGGGAGCTGCAGCTTACATTGAGACTTGTGTTTCCACTCTTGGTGCGTCTGTAGTTTCCGGTCTAGGCACCTCAAAGGTTCTTATTGTGGGAGCTGCAGCTACCACTCGTCTAGTACCAGACTTTGTCACTAGCTCGGGTGCGACCTCACCGACTCCACAACTTTCCTTCACCCTAGACTCTGGATTGTCCAGCTGTTTCTTTCGCGACTGCACCGACCTCATGCCACTGCACACTCCAGTCACTGTTGCCTTGGCTGACCCCTCTGTGGGATCTGTAGTTGCCCACAACACCACCACTCTCTCGTGTCCGGTGGCTCCCTCTGGGTTTCTCACAGGTTACTACACCCCCTCGTTCTCTAGGAACTTGGTGGGTGTCAGACACCTCCACGACCTCGGAGTTGTCACCACTATCCCTCTGGACGAGCTTGTTGCCTCCTGCACAATTGGTGCCACTGGGGCGCCACTCGCCGCTTTTCACAGGGAGCCAGGCTCTGGTCTGTACTCATTATACACTGGATCAGGTCAGGTCAGGTCAGGTCACGTAGCTGCTGTGCCGTGCGACTGTCGGTTACTCACCCATCCATCGGTCCTCTGGCACCACCTTCTATGGCACCCGTCCTTCCCGCATCTTAGCAGGATGGTACGTCACCGTCTGGTCTCAGCTCTCCCAGAGTCGCTCACTCTGCTCCCCCGCTCGCTTGCACCGCCGTGCACTCCTGGCGTCAAGGGTCGGCAGTGTGCTGCCCCTCACTCCTCCTCGTTCCCTCCCACCATGGCTCCGTTACAGACCCAGCACTTGGACGTCTGGGGCCCCTCCCCGGTCCTTAGCCCACGTCAGGAGCGCTACTTCCTGATTGTGGTGGACGACTAATCCCACTACACCACGGTTTTCCCCCTCAGACGGAAGGCCGACGTGCCTACCGTCCTCGAGCCGTGACTACTAGCGAGGGATGGAGCCCAGGGCCTGTGTGGGCTCCGCCTACACTCGGACCGTGGTGCTGAGTTTTCTTCCACTCGCCTGGAGACGTTCTGTCAGGGTCGGGGGATCATCCGGTCTTACACGCCACTAGACTCGCCACAGCAGAACGGGGTGGCCGAGCAACGCATCGGCCTGGTCATGGAGGTTGCCCGGACCTCCATGTGCCATGCCGGTGCCCCCAAGTTCCTGTGGCCTTAGGCAGTCCGCTACGCCGCGCACCAGCTGAACCTGTGGCCCAGTGACACACGGTCACGGGTGACGCCGGTCTACCTTTGGACAGGTTCTCCGGGCGTAGCAGCTAACTTCCGTGTCTGGGGTTCTCTAGCTCACGTTCGCGCCCCTGGTGCGAACAAGTTGTCTCCGCGCACTCGTGCCTGCGTCTTTCTTGGCTTCCCTTTGGACGCCTCCGGCTGGGTGTTCTACGACCCAGTCACCTACCAGTTCTTCACTTCTTAGGACGTCACATTCGACGAGTCTGTCTGTAACTACAGGAGTCGCCCCCACCAAGGTACTGAGGTCTTTTCCCCCCTGCTGGTCCTCACCCTTGAGCCCCCCCCAGTCGCCACGATAGCCCCCCTGTTAGAATCAGGAACGGAATGGATGAACTAGGAAGGAGGTGGGTACAAGTAGGAAACCTAAAAGTGTTGTACCCTATATGAACTACCCCACTACAGCCTAGATAGACTATAGCATATAAGTTTGACACACCCCCATAGGCAAAGTGGGGGAGAACAAGAGGTCACAAGACCAGTCAAGAAAAGCAAAGCAAGCTCAGGGTGGATCACAAAGTCACCACGCTGTGTGAGCACAAGCAAATGGCCACAAGGCCAGTTCACATGCAGAGTTATATATAGGAGAACAAACAATACGGTGAACACAACCTAGCAAGTGTAAGCATGCAGGTATATGTGTAGAAAGTATAGTACAAACAAAGTCAAGAAGTAAGCAAGTGAGGTACAGTAGGTACAAGGCCTAGAACAGTACAGAAACACTGATGATCACAAGGCTGAAGTGCCTTGGTGAAAACATCAGCAGTGTTGGCCTGAGAGGCCACGTAAGCAAGACGAAGCTGACCACGCTGCTGCAACTCTCAACCCAGGAAGTAGCGCAGAGCAATGTGCTTTGTTCTGTGCTCCAGTCTGTGCTCCTGATACAAGGCAAGCATGGCCTTGTTGTCGACGTACAGAACTGGAGGAGAACGAGGCGCCTCTCCCAAGTCGGTCAGCAGGTAGGTGAGCCAGCGTAACTCCTGTGCAGCCATGGCCCCAGCGTAGATCTCAGCCTCACAACTGGAGCTGAGAACAGAAGAAGAGTGGGTAGACCGCCAAGAGACAGAGCCGGAACCAAGACTGAAGGTGTAACCCTGTGACGACCGCTGCGTAGCCAAGTCGTCAACCCAGGAGGCGTCTACGTGACCAGTGAGGACAACTCGAGCCCGTCCTCCAAGCACGAGCCCCATGCCCGACGTACTGCAAAGGTAGCGCAACACCCTCTTCGCAGCATCCCAGTGCACCTTTCGGTGTCGACCGGGAGCCACGTAGCGAGCCAGAAGGCTGAGAGGGTATGCGAGGTCAGGTCGTGTGCAAGTCATCAGGTACATGAGGCAGCCCACAAGCTCTGGATACGGGCCACTCGGCTCTACGGACTCGTCCGAAGGAGGAGCTAAGAGCGAGTGACCAGTAGGCAGAGGAGTGGACTGTGGTGAGGAGTAAGTGAAGCCGAAGCGCTGAAGGACCTACTGCACCATGTGTGACTGAGTCAAGGTAATGGTGCGCTGTGCTCTGTCCCGAGTGATCCGCAAGCCAAGATAGCTTGCCAGTTCGCCCAGGTCTGTGCACGTGTGTCTCTTCTGCAGCTCAGACTTCACGTGGGCGAGTGCCTCAGTGTCAGCAGTAGCAAAGACGAGGTCGTCTACGTACACGAGAACGTAGAACGGCGGCAGAGTGGTGTCAGTGCGTAAAAACAGTGACGGGTCAGCAATGGAAGGAGCAAAACCAAGAGTAGCAAGAGTCGCCCTCAGTGTGTCGTGCCACTCACGGGGTGCCTGGCGGAGACCGTAGACTGGCCGCCGGAGGCTCCACTGGGTACCTGTAGGAAACGAACCAGTGAAGCCAGGTGGGCGGCGCAGCCAGATCTCCTCGTGCAGGCTGCCCTGTAGGAAGGTTGTGCTGAAGTCAAGCGAGTGGAGCTCGTAGTTACAGTGAGCGGCGACGTGCAACAGTACCCGAAGAGTGGTCATCTTCGGGGTAGGGGAGAAGGTCTGGAAGAAGTCAACTCCCTGTCGCTGACTGAAGCCACGTGAAACGTAACGCGCCTTGAAGACAGACGGAGAACCCGGCGGCCGCTTCACCCTGAAGATCCACATGCCACTGACGATATTCGCCCCAGGTGGGGGAACCTCGTCGACGTAGGTGCCTGTGGACTTCCAGGAAGCCATCTCGGCATCCATGGCTGCCTGCCACTGAGAGGAGTAGGGACCCTCTATCGCCTCTGCGTAAGAGCGCGGGGTCGGGATGTCTGGTGCATCCGGGTCTCCCTCAGGGGCAAGCAGCATGGACATGAGATGAGGTACAGCAGCGGCAAAGCACTCAAACTCCTCCTGTCTGTCCTCAAGAACGTCCGTGCCAAGAGCACACTCACCCCCGACGGACAAAGGACAGACAGACGCAGACACAGACTCAGCAACAAGACTAGTGGCGAAGTCTAGGCGACAGGCTTCACCAAAGTCAACAAGCTCAGCAACGAGAGCAGACGCAGCAGTGGACTCAAACAAAGGGCCATTGACAGCAGTGGCCAGAAAGCGTGTGACAGTAGGACTAGAAGCACGAAGGGAGTCAGACTCCGGGTCCGGACCGTCATGAAGAGAGGACGCAGGAGGAGACGGCAGAGGGACACGCTATGGAGCAGTGGAAGGATGCAGAGTCATAGAGTGAGTGTCAGGGACAGGAGGAGGACGCGGACGCGAAACACGACGACCAGCGCGAGCAGTGCGGACAGGCGACACGGACGCGATGCAGGCTCTTGACGCTCCCTAAGACTTCTAGTCGGTCCAGCGTAAGGAGAAGGACCAGGGAGTGGAGAGGCCGGCTGTAACTGTGACTGTGACTGGACAGGCGGTGGACTCAGTAAGGGAGGAGTAGGACCAGGAGAAGGCGGGAGTCCAAGAACCTGCTGAAGGAGCGGAACGTAGTACAGCTGCGGCCGTGCAGCGCCTCCAGAAATAGAAGAGACAGCACCAGTACCCTCAGCTCCAGGGTCTCCACTAACAACTCCCGCAGCACCACCAGCTCCAGTACCTGCAGCTCCAACACCAGCAGTACCACCAGCCCCAGCAGCTCCAGTACCTCCAGTACAAGCACCTGCAAGACCAGCGGCTCCAGCAGCTCCAGCACCAGCAGCACCTCCAGCAGCTCCAGCACCAGCAGCACCTCCAGCAGCACCAGCACCAGCAGCACCTCCAGCAGCTCCAACACCAGCAGCACCTCCAGCAGCTCCAGCACCAGCAGCACCTCCAGCAGCTCCAGCACCAGCAGCACCTCCAGCAGCTCCAGCACCAGGAGCACCTCCAGCAGCTCCAACACCAGCAGCACCTCCAGTAGCTCCAGCACCAGCAGCTCCAGGAGCACGGCAACAGCGCCAAGCGTACCACTCACGAAGCCGCTGTGGAGAGAGGGGCTCCCGCCGCAACGGGACACCCGGAGAACCTCCAGACTCAGCACGCGCAGGCTCAGCATCTCCAGACTCAGCACCCCCAGACTCAGCACCCCCAGGCTCCACACGCTCAGGCTCAGCACCCCCAGGCTCCACACGCTCAGGCTCAGCACCCCCAGACTCCACACGCTCAGGCTCAGCACCCCCAGGCTCCGCACCCCCAGGCCCCGCACCCGAAGGCTCAGCACCCCTGGCAGCACCTGAGTCAACAGCTACCTCGACCGGCTCGGCAGGGTCTACCTGAGACACACCTGAGGGGGCAGGACCCTGAGGGGGGAGGGGGTCTACCGGAGGAGTACCTGGCACTAGGAAGAGTGTCGGGGGGGGGAGAGAGGCAGTGCGGTACGGAAAGAGATGGTAGTAAGACACCGACTCGTCAAGTGTGACGTCCTGAGAGGACAGAACACGACGCGAGGTGGGGTGGTAAAACTGCCACCCGGGTGCATCAAGGGGGAAGCCAAGGAAGACGCAGGGAACGGCACGGGAGGACAGCTTGTCCGCTGAAGTATCGCGGACAAAAGCTCGAGATCCCCAGATACGGAACGCGGACGCATCGCCAACCTTCCCCGTCCACCTCAGAGTAGGTGTGGTCTTAGGCAAGGAGACACGAGGCTGAAGGTTGATCTGATGCGCAGCGTACTGAACCGCGAACGGCCACAGAAAATGGGGCGCAGCCGCATGGATCATGGACGTACGAGCGACGTCCATGACCATGCCAATGTGGCGCTCAGCAATCCCATTTTGCTGTGGGGAGGCCGGAAGCGTGAACGTCTGGCAGATGCCCTCCGCACGACAGAAGGCCCTCAGGAGGTCGGAGGAAAACTCACCACCTCTGTCTGAGTGCAGACCCAGAACAGGAAGGTCCGAGCCGAAACGCTCGCTGAGCTGGCGACGAGCACCGCGGATATAGTCGATCAACACCTTAGGGACCTCACCCTTGCTGCGCAAGGGGAAGACTGTGGTGTAACGCGAGTAGTCGTCAACGCCCAGTAGGAAGTAACGCTTGTGACCCTGTCCACGGACGCGGGCTGGGCCCCACACGTCCATGTGAAGAGTCTGCAGGGGAGCCTCTGTCAGAGGGAACGTGGAGGAGTGAGGAGCGGCGCGCTGCCGGCCCTCGACACAGGGAACACAGGTAGGGGCAGGCCCCGGAGGAAGGGGAGGGAGGGACCGGGGAAGACCCGAGACAAGGGTACGGGAGGCCATACCTCGAAGACGAGGCAGGGAGGGGTAACCAAGGCGGTGGTGCCAAAGGAGAGTCTCGTGCGACAGAGGACGACACGAGCAGGGGGCAGACGCAGGACTAGACCTGGACACGGCAGCAAACACCTGACTAGACGCGGCTACCTGACCAGACGCAGAGACCGGAGGAGACGCAGTAGTCAGTGTGTACAGACTCGACCCTGGCCGACGGGTGAACGTGGCCAGGTGGCGGCCCGTCCGAGAGCAAGTGCAGTGGGTCACACGCTGATCTCCAGGGGCGAACTGGTCAACCCACGTGTCCTGGAGGTCAGCTCCACTCACCAGGTTCGTAGAGAACGAGGGGAGGTGGAGTCCCGACAGCAAGCCCGACAGGGCCGCAGGACACGGTAGAACCGTGGAAGAGTGCGCAAGGACTGGGCCCCCAGAGGGGTCAGCCAGGGAGACTGCGACATGCCGACTAAGCGGCGTGAGTGTGGTGCTGTCGCGAAAGAAAGAGCGCGAAGCACCAGAGTCAAGTGTGAAAGTGTGCAAGGCCTCAGCAGGTGCTGTACCAGAGAGAGCAGACTCACCAGCACCTGGAGCAGCAGACTCGCCAGTACCTGGAGCAGCAGACACACTAGCACCTAGAGCAGCAACCTCAATGCCCGGGTCGGGCGGGACACTCAGGTAACAGTCACCTTCAGCACTATCTGTCAAAGCATACATGGCAGCAAGGATAGCATCGAAATCAAGATCAACGATAGCCACATTGTGCCTAAGCAGATCACCCCAGCGAGGGAGCTCAACAGCGTTAGGAATCTGGGCGCGCCAGGCGTCAGTCAGGCGACCGAAGCAGTGTTGCGCAGTGTGTGGCAGCCCGCACGTCTCCCCATGACGACTGCCAGTGCGAAGAACGTAAGTGCAGGGACCAGCACCCCCAGACCTCCCACGCCCAGCGTACCACTCACGAAGCTTCTGGGTCGACGGGGTCTCACGGGAACGCGGTTGCTGCTGGCGCTGGCTACCACCAAGGCCTCCACGCTGCGCGGCTGCACCTCGACCAGCACCACCGCCACCGCTACCTCCGCCACCGCCGCTGCTGCCTCCACCACCGCTACCGCTGCCTCCACCACCTCCGCCGCTGCCTCCACCACCTCCACCGCCGCCACTGAAGCCCCCACTCCCGGCCCCACCCCCACCGCCACCGCCACCCCCTCTGCCTCCTCCACCGCCTCCGCCGCCGCCCCCCCCATCCCCTCCACCACCCTTGTTCCCCTTGCCCTTGGTGTTGCGGTGCCTCCCACTAGGAGCAGACGCAGCCCCGACCTCCTCAGTGCCAACGAGGTCGACAGCAGCAGCAGAAGCAACAGAGGGGAGAAGGGGGACAGGGGAACACCCCTCAAAGAAAGGGGTGCGACGGTCGCCGCGAGAAGCACCTACAGCTAAGATACTCTTCTCAACTGCAGCGAGGCTCTCCTCTAGCAGGTCGACAGTGAGCTCAGTGGGGCAAAGAGAGAGAAAGTGGTCCCTGACCGAAGCAAGGGAGTCAGGGAGGCGGGTGACTAGGTAGTAAAGGGCGATGTACATGGGGGGGGTGGTTCTTGGCACAGAACTCAGTGGGAAGGGCAGCGCGGTAGCGGGCGTCACTAGTGCGGAGGTGAGTAATGAGGTCAGCGACTGTGGCAAAGGCGGCAAGGTCAGGGAAAGGGTACGGCAGCATGAGGCGGCTGAGGGCAGCAGTGGCAGGGGAGGAGTAGCGCGCAACTACAGCGTCGTACAAAGACTTGGCAGTCTTGTACTGGCCAAAATGCGCGCGCTCAGCAGGCGGCAGGTGACTGCGAACAGCAAGGCGAGCAACAGGGTCATGAGTGGTCCACTGCGAGCGAACAGCACTGTCAGCAGTGGCAGTAGGAGCAGTGGAGACACCAGACGTGTGATCGAAAAGGGATACCCCATCCCTAGAGTCACACTGAAGAAAGAGCTGCAGGTCGTCAACCCACACGTCAAAGTCAACTGCACGCCCCTCAGCATCAAAGGTGAGAACAGTAGGGCTAGCCATAGTAGCAGTAGCAGCAGTAGCAGCAGTAGCAGCAGAGGCAGCAGAAGCAGCAGAAGGAGCAGGCGCAGTGCAAGGAGTGGGGCAGCGCAGCTCAGTTCGGCGGCGCGGCTCGGCTGGGCGGCGCGGCTCGGTGGGGCGGCGCGGCTCGGTGGGGCGGCGCGGCTCGGCTGGGCGGCGCGGCTCGGTTGGGCGGCGCGGCTCGGTTCCTGGCGGCGCGGCGCGGCAGCAGGCGGCGCGGCGCGGCAGGGCAGCAGGCGGCGCGGCGCGGCAGGGCAGCAGGCGGCGGGGCGGCGTGGGTGCTTACCAGGGGTGGGTGCAGGGCAGGGCCGCAGCTGGCGGTTTAGGTCAGGGCCGCGACCGGGGCAGCAGCAGGGCAGGGCCGCTATAGGGCGGCTGCAGGGCAGAGGCCGCAACGAGCGGCGAAGGCAGGGCCGCGACTAGGGCGGCAGCACAGCAGGGCCGCGACAGGGGGCGGCTGCAGGGCAGGGCCGCGACAGGGGGCGGCTGCAGGGCAGGGCCGCGGCAGGCGGCGAACGTGCCGACGACGGGCGGCAAAGGGGCAGAGGGCCGCGACTGGGTGGCTGCAGGGCAGAGGCCGCGACGGGCGGCGAACGGGCCGACGAAGGGCGGCGAACGGGCCGTGACGGGCGGCAAACAGGCCGACGGGCGGGCCGCAACAAGCGGCCGACGGGCGGCAAAGGGGCCGGGACGGACCGGCGACGGGCCGGGACGGGCCGAGTCGGGCCAGGTCGGGCCGAGACGGGCCGGGACAGGCCGGGACGGGCCAGCAACGGGCGAGCGCGGGGCCGCAGTAGGCGGCTAAAGCAGGGCTGCGACGCGTGGCGACGGGCTAGCGACGGGCAGCTACGGGCAGGGCACGCGACGGCGCAGGTAAGGCAGGCGCGAGGCGTGCTTCGGGCAGGAAAAAAAAGTTCGTGGTGGGCCCTAAAAAAAACGTTCCCACGAGGGAACCTGCTCAGAATACCATGTTAGAATCAGGAACGGAATGGATGAACTAGGAAGGAGGTGGGTACAAGTAGGAAACCTAAAAGTGTTGTACCCTATATGAACTACCCCACTACAGCCTAGATAGACTTTAGCATATAAGTTTGCCACCCCCCTCCCCCCCCCCCTCGCGTCCTACCCCGTCTGGTGGGTCGCATGTCACTCCGCAGTCGTCCCCCCCGCAGCGTCTAGTCCATGTCATGTCTGGGGGTGCGGGAGGTGCAGTTGCGGAGGGTGAGGGTACTCGGGCTGCTATAGCTGGTGGTGTCGGCTCTGGGGGTGTGGGTGTGGAGGTCACTCCCGTGGAGGACTCGGCAGCCTCGACTCGGCGGCCTCGCCCCGCGTCACCCCCTGGCTTCCCGTCCGTCCCGCTGTTCCCTCCTCGTTCTTCTCTGAGGCCGGTTGCTGTGGAGCATGGGGTGTTCTTGCGAGGGTACTGGAGACATTGGTTGTGTCGGTGGTGGAGGTGCTGGTTCTGGGGGTGCTAGAGCCGGAGGCTTTGGCACTGTGGCGCCTACGCCGTGCTGTGTACATTTCCTGACCCATGAGCAGGGTCTCCTCCGGTTGGAGAGTAAGGAGAGGGAGCGGTTTGAGAGGGCACGGCAGCAGCAGCAGCAGCAGCACCAGCAGTAGAAGCAGCAGCAGGAGCAGCAGCAGCAGCAGTAGCAGCAGCAACAGCAGCAGCAGCAGCAGCAACACCAGCAGTAGAAGCAGCAATAGGAGCAGCAGCAGCAGCAGCAACAACAGCAGCAAGAGCAGTCTCAGTCGCAGCGTCAGGAGAGGGTAGAGCAGGAGCCACAGATACAGTAGGAGAGAGTAGATGAGGAGTCACAGCCGCAGCAGGAGAGAGCAGAGAAGGGGTCACGACTGCAGCAGCAAGTGCAGTTGCAGCCGCAGCAGGAGAGAGTAGAGGAGGAGTCACGACTACAGCACCAGGTGCAGTTGCAGTCCCAGCAGGAGAGGGTAGAGTAGGAGTCCCGCCCACAGCAGCAGGTGCAGTTGCAGACACAGCACAAGAGAGTAGAGGAGGAGTCACGGCCGCAGTAGGAGAGGGCAGAGGAGGAGCCACAGGAGTAGCAGCAGGGGCAGGTGCCGTCGCAGCAGACGCCAGAGGAGGCGGAGCAGCAGCGACTGCAACCGTGTGACTTGCCTGACCCAGCGCCTGCACGCTTGGTTCGTGGTCCCCTGTTAACCCCGTCCAGTCCCTTTCCTCGTCCCAATGGGCTCGTCATTCTCCCCTTAGTCGTGCTGTGTCTCCAGAGCCCCGTCGGTCCCGTTACCATGCAAACGGCCCGTTTCACTTTGTTCTCCGTTCTCGTGTTCCACCTCCTCCAGTCCTTCCACAGCCTCCAGAGTCGTCCCTCACTGTGTTTCACAACCCATTGTCCGACTACCTCCGTGCCTCCCATCCTGCCGTCTCCCGTGTTCTGTCTGCATTGGTCACTCACCCGAGTGCCCCCGCGTTGTCTGTCTCGGCTCTTGTTACCACTGTCAATAGCTTTGCCTCTTCCCACTGCCTTGACTACGCCGCTCACCTAGTGAGTGGCCCTGCACGTTCTCCGTGCTCTGGGGGTGCTCCTGTCTTTCCCCTGGAGGTCCTCGAGGACAGGCAGTTCGAGCTTGGTTTCGTGGCGGGTGCTGTTCCCCAGGACCGCTTGATATCCAGACTGCTTGCCCCTAAGGGGGATCCAGACGCCCTTGACATCCTGATCCCTCGCACTCACACCGTGGCAGTCTCGGGACCCTGGGCTTTGTACTAGATAGTAGTTGAGGAGGAAGAGATGGCATCTTATAGGTCCACAGGCACCTACGTCGACGCCGTCCCACCATCTCGGACGAACGTCGTCAGTGGCATGTGGCTCTATAAGGTGAAGCGGCTGCCTGGATCACCACCGGTGTTCAAGGCGTGCTATGTGACGAGAGGCTTCAGTCAGCGCGAGGGGGTAGACTTCTTCCAGACCTTCGCTCCCACCCCAAAGATGACCACTCTTCAGATGTTGCTGCACATCGCAGCTCAGCGCGACTACGAGTTACACTCCTTGGACTTCTCCACAGCGTTCCTTCAGGGGAGCCTGCACGAGCAGATCTGGCTGCGTCACCCGCCTGGCTTCACTGGCTCTTTCCCTCCTGGGACCCAGTGGCAGCTGCGTCGACCGGTCTACGACCTGCGCCAGGCTCCCCGTGAATGGCACGACACACTTCGCACGACTCTTGCAGCGCTTGACTTCTTTCCGTCGTCTGCGAACCCGTCGATGTTCGTTCATCGTGGCTCGACCCCGTTCTTTGTTCTGGTTTACGTCGACGACCTGGTGTTCGCCACTCCCGACCGACGCGCACAGGCCTCCGTGAAGGAGGAACTGCAGAGGCGACACACTTGCACTGACCTTGGTGAACTGCAGCACTACCTTGGCCTACAGATCACCAGGGACAGGGCAGCTCGCACCATTATGCTGACCTAGTCTCATACGATCGAGCAGATCCTCACGCGGTTTCGCTTTCCGTTCTCCAAGGTACAGCTCACCCCTCTTGCTGTGGATCATGGGCTCACGGCTCCACCTGTGGACGAGCCATTTGAGTCCAGCGGTCAATATCCTGAGTTGGTGGGTTGTCTCATGTACCTGATGACCTACACTCGCCCTGACCTAGCTTACCCTCTTAGCGTCCTGGCGCCCTTTGTTGCGCCTGGGAGACACCGACCTTCCCACTTGTACGCGGCTAAGAGGGTGGCAAAGTATGTGGCAAGTACATTAGGCATGGGACTTGTCCTTGGAGGGAAGCAGCCAGTTACACTCACAGGTTACTCGGACTCATCGTGGGCCGACGACGCAGAGTCGCTGCGGTCTATACAGGGTTACTGCTTCAGTCTTGGGATCGGAGCTGTTTTGTGGAGGTCGACTCGGGCGTCGTCCGTTTCCAGTTCCAGCTCTGAGGCAGATGTGTACGCTGCGGCCATGGCCGCTCAGGAGATTCCCTGGCTGTCTTTCCTCCTCACCGACCTTGGTGAGCGGCCTCGCTCTCCCCTAGTCTTGTTCGCCGATAACAGGTCTGCTTTCCTGTTGTGCAAGGAGCCCCAACGGGTTGGGAAGGCGAAGCACATCCAGCTTCGTTACTTCCTTCTGCGCGAGTTGCAGCAGCGTGGCCAGGCCCGGGTGGTACATGTGGTCTCTTAGGCCAACACTGCAGATATCTTCACCAAGAATTTGCCACCTTGTGACCACCAGCGTTTCTGCACCCAGCTAGGCCTTGTGTCTACAGGCCCTCACTTGCTTGCGTAGAGATGTTTTGCATTGTACTCTTGCATCTCTTTATATTTGCTATATATATCTGCTTGTGGACTGGCCTTGTGGCCCCTTGCTTCTGTAGAGATGCTTATCTTGTACTCTTGCATCTTTTATATTTGCTAAATCCTTGCATGTGGACTGGCCTTGTGGCCCCTTGCTTGTTCTCGGACTGTGTGGTGATCTTGAGATCCACCCCAAGATTTGTTGTGACTTTGTGAACTGGTCCTATGACCCTTGTTGTGTGTTGCTTTCCACTGGACTACCGTCACGTAGATTATGGAGGTGTGTTAAGCTATACTTGTTATAGCTCATTTGTGTTAGTCTAGGTGGACTTTTAGTTTTCGACGCAGGGAATGCAGGGCGGCGCAGGCGAGGGAGGGAGGGGAGGCAGAGACCTGGGAAGACCAGAAACCAGGAAGCGGGAGTGCATGCTGCGTAGGCGAGGCAGGGAGGGGTGACCAAGGCGGTGGTGCCACAGGAGAGTGTCGTGCGACAGCCAGCGACACTCACACTGTGTAGCTACCTGAGCAGACGTGTGCAACTGGGGAGACAAAGGGGTGGAGCTCGACGCAGTGGTGAGGGTGTACAGACTGGACCCTGGCGCACGAGCGAACGTGGCCAGGTGGCGACCAGTCTGGGAGCACGTGCAAATCGCCACACGCTGCCGGCCAGGGGTGAAGGTGTCAACCCCCGCATCCTGGAGGACAGCGTTAC